GTGTGTGTATGTGTGTGTGTGTGCACAACAACAACAACAATGAGGGAAGCAAAAAATCATTAAAAGCAGTCCCTGCTCGGGCGCCCCACCAGTACGCCGTCAAAGCTGTGTCTGGATTACATTATTAGAGAATCTGCTTCATGCCTCGAATATCCACACCATTAATATTTCACTTAACGCTACAATTGTCCTGAGAGCAACTGCCAGCATGCATAGTAGCAGCCCACACCTGAGCCCATACCTACTACACCTAGAAAGTCACCGACTCCCCCCTCTTAATTGCCCTAAAATGTTTAATTTATTTTATGCGATTTCACTCAGCTCCAGTTTTAATTATGAGCAGGGCTGCTCTGAATAGGGCAAAGAGCAGCCCACAGTGGAATGGAGCCCAGCCACAGCCCAACAGAGAGAGAGAGGGTGGGGAGAGCTGGGAGCCAGTCAACTGACTTGTGTAATTTGTGCATAAGTTTAATTTACTTAAGGGGCGACATAATCTTCAGTTGCTTACTTATCCTGCCCGGTGGCTAATGTCGGCGTTGCCGCCAGTCGCTGCTGTTCCAGCCTCCTGGTGACGGCCGCACTGGGCGTCGTCTCACTCAAAAATCGTCTCAATGGCCTTGTCAGCATAGCGGCGCTGTGATTATGCACTTGATGTGATGTGCATAAAGCTGAATTTTAATTACGAGTAAATATTTAAACCATTAAGCTTGAAAAGTGGACCGGCCGAGTGGTTCCAGATACAGATGCCAGGCCAAGGAGTCTATGCAAAATTTGTCTATGCTACGACAGTTCAAATTTGCGAACATGACTGTAGAGGGCTTAATGTTCGACGAGCCCGAAGGCTGATTGAGGTTTGTTTAATAAAGAATGATTTTCATTGTATTAAATTAGCTTGTTGTTGTCAAAGATGAAATTTATTAGCACTTTTAATTATGGTGCATATATTGAAAAAGTTGCAGCTTCAATTGACGATCATAAATTTTCAGTCGGGCCATTTAATGCAACGGCTGACCAGGCAATAAAAAGCAAAAAAAAAAAAAAAACAACACAAATTAAGCGACTTAATTAAAATAAATAAAACTTCTACATAAAACATACAAAAAAAAAAAAAAAAAAAATGGAAATAAAAAACTCGATGGCTTTTATTTGTATTTGGCTGTTTTTGTTTTTGTTTGAAATATTGTGCGGTAAATGCAAGTGCAAATATATATTAATTGCGAATGGTTCAGCTCCGACGCGGCTCGGCTTCAATTAAAAGTTTCAACAACATTCATCAAACCGCTTCAATGAGTGTCGATAACAGCCGCCGTTCCGAGAGAATGCGTACATAATAAATAAAATACACAAAACGCGAAACACAAAAAATAAAAATTATAAAACATCAGCCATCGATCGCAGCAATGGCTAACTTTTCCACAAAGCCGCAAAACAAAAAAATGCCTGCATACACAAGTGGTAAAAATAATTTTATTTGTTCTTAGCTGGAGGAGCATGGTGCCGGACAGGTCCTATTGAAATGGCCGCTGCTGTTGTTGCCATTGACGCCAGCTAGCTCTCCTAAAATGCGGCCTGCTGTTTATGTGTATTAGCATGTTAAAGCAGTTGGCAGTGCTCCGACGTTGTCCTGTGCTGTCATGCGGTCGGGCTGGAGTGTGTCGCCTCTTGAAAGTAATAGCCAAAACGAAAGAAATCTACACCCAGCCGCCCATTACTGCCGCTTGTCCCCACGTTGTTAACGTAATTTCCATAAAACATTTTGTTACTTATTTATCTTAATTAAAATAAATTTACATTTTTCTAATTTAAGAGCGCGACGGCAGCGGCAACGGCAGCGCCAACGTGCCAGTGGCAGTGGCAGCGGCAGTGGCAACACCAGCACCAATACCTACAGCGACTTGTCAGCCCTGCCCTCCTGCCCCTGACATTTCTGCCGAGCGCAACTTGCTGGGCATTAGAGAGCGACATTTTCTTAACAAGCCCAAAGGACACATGCCAGATCACGGACGAGCACGAAGCGTGGGAGGATGGCCAGAGACGAAACAACATCAGTGACAACGAGTGGAAAAAACAAAAAAAATTGTATGTAATGGAAAGTTGCCTCCGCACTCTGCGTTTGGATCTCATTAGCGTTGCTAGGGGAAAATGGGCCGCAGGCGGGGCGGGCAACTAGAGTGGTCGTCTTTTCAGTTGGGCCCGGGCTGCACGTTGTTCTTGTGTCGTTGCCGCATAAGTAGCAGCCAGTGCTAGCCACGTCCATTCCGAGTTCCAGTCTCAGTCTCAGTCCCACTTCGGGCGCACAAAAGGCATAAAGAAAGAAAAGTATTGCTTTACTCCAAGCCCGGCCCTGGGCCCGACTCTGTCATGGTCCTGTTCTTGGTCCATCAGGAAAAGCATAAAATTAAAAGCTGACAAGCGAAATAAAAAGATTTTGCGTATTTGCGCACACTTTGTAGCCGTTGCCAGCATCCTGATGCTAATTCAATACAAAATGTTTGCCAGCACGACTTTGGGCGAAGGGTCGTGCACCCGTGCGGGTGCTGCCCAATAGGTGAGCTAATGAGGGTCAGCTAACAGCTAACAGGCATCGAATTGAAAAAAATCAATGAATAGCATAGAACAAGATAAACACTAAGTAGCAAGTCTTTGAACAGAGACGAACAAATTTACAATTCCATAAAATTAATTAATTCGACCCACATTTTTTATTGGTTTGTAGCCATATTATATTATTCGAAAGACTTTTCGAAACACTTTTCAGTTGTTTGTTAAACTTTGTGGTATGCGATACGGGGTCGGCAAATACGACAGATAGAATGAATACTAGTCTATGGATGCTCCAATCTAACGACATATTAAATGACGATCTTGCAATATCAATTTACACTCAGCCTCAATTGCTTCTGAACAACCTGTACCTAGTTCGTCCTACAGTGTTTCAGTGTTTCCTTAATCAGATGCTGCATTGTTAAAAGTTTAAGTTAGTTCAGGAGTGCACTCTAATACATCTTCACGACACAGCACGCAATGCAATGAGTGCTCTTAGATGAAAACATTTTGAGCAGGAATTTGCTCAAATAAAATTATGAGTTTCCTATGGAAATGTCATATTTCTGTTGCAACCCTCGGCCAGAATATAAAGTAAGAGAATATTAAAAGAAAAATATTGATATATAATCTAATTGATCGAATAGTAAGTAAGAAATGCCTATTTAGTCTATTAGTAATAAAGTCAACTTTCTAATATTAGTCTACTAATGTAGTATTTGGTACAGTTGTGTGCGCATTAGCACAAGTTCTGATTAGTCATTACTTGGCCTACACAGGACACAAATCTGGTGAAAATAAAAACAACAAATCAAAAATCAATACGAGCAACGCCATTTTGTAATGCTGTGTGAGTAAGTAAAAAAGCGTCAAATGAAACCAATACAAAACCATAACTAAATCCAAATGTGTGTGTGTATGTGAGTGTGTGCGTTCGTGTGTACACAACAAGAAATTTGAGCAAGAAGCAGCAGCAGGCATATAAAATCAACAACGCCCGCAACGGGGGAGCCTTTTTGCCAGGCCGGAAGGGAGGAGTCAAGCCAGTCGAGCGGGCAAGAGAGGCAAAAATAAAATGAAAAAGTACAAGAAAAAGAAAACAGAAAACAGAAAAATAAAAATAAATTCAAAGCAAACGAGACTAAAATTATAAAAATTGCCCTCCTGGTGGTGCTATTGCCGAGAGTGCGCGTCCAGGACGATGGACGCGGACGCAAGCGGGCGCGGACGCCGACGAGGACAAACAAGGCGAGACGAACGCGATTCCAATACGGGACATCAACGTCAACGAGGGTGGCAAACAGCCCAAGCCGAAGGTGGGTGATGCTGATGCTGATGCTGATGGACTGGCCGGGCTGGGCTGAGCTGAGCTGGGGGTGGGCCGGTGTGGTACATAATGTGGCCCGGGCACTGCCGTTGGCCTGAACGGCGCATTAAGCACAGCACTGTTAGAGGTGACCGAGCCAGGGGCTGGGCGAGGGTGTACATGGCCGAGGAGGTATATATACCCGTGTACATAAAGCTGTGCTGCCATGGCCCGCAGCGTCAATGGACCAAAATAATAACGACTAACGGCCTGTTAAGGGAAAATGCAGCGAGCAACGGCGAGGTTGGAGGATGGAGGTTGGAGGATGGAACATGGAGAATGGCCTGGTAATAGGTTTGGATGGGTGGCCCAAGGTTTTTTAAGTGGTTGCGCGTGACGTGCACGACGAGCTGGCGAGCGGAGCACGGGTGTGGCAGCGGTGGTGCAGATGCCATTGGAGCTGCTGACGTGGTATTTGCTCGCGCTCATTGACGCCAACATAGACATAGACATCGACGCGGACGCGGACGCGAACCTGGGGCATGGCTGCCGATCGTTATGCCAGTGCCTGGCAATTTTTTTCCACTTATTTGTACACAAAACTCTTGTTACTAGCTGCCATTATGATTTTGAAAAGCCATTGCTTTTTTCCGTTTTTTACTTGCTTTGCTTTTTGCCGCTCATTGAAAAACTGTGAAATTTTATAATAAGCATTTTTTGCCGCTGCCGGATTATTGTCGATGATTGTGATTGCGTTTTATGTTGTTCCTTTTATTACCAGCCGGGGACTGGGAAATGGTGATGGCTCCTGGCATCTCTTTACACTGGACGCTTCAGTGGGGGCCATTACAGATTTTGTTTCTGTGTGAGTTTTTTTTTTTTGTATTTTTTGTTTGTTATTGGTGCTGTAATATTCCTTTTGAAAAATGTTTTTGTCCGTGGGCTCTTCTATGTGTTTTATTTCTTTCTTTTTTTTACATTTTGCATTTGTGCTCGTTCGGGCGCTATTGGTTTCATTTTAACTTATTAATTTTAAATGCGATTTTTAATTAAATATTATCAAAGTGTGTCGCGGACATCATTAGTCTAGCAGCAGGCAGGGAGGGAACGCAGAGGGACTAAAGCGAAGGAAAGATGAAAGCTTGAATGCTTAGTTCCTGTAATAGGTAGTTTTGAGCAGGGCAAAGAACTGATACGACATGCTGATCACCTACAAACAACGCAAGAACTATGATAATTGAAGCTGAGCTCTGGCAGCCGCACTCACCTTCATGTAGGTAACCAGCGAAATGGGCGGAAATGTGGGTGGACGTATCATGGCTGGCTTCTGGCTGCGCAAAATCATCATCTTGAGCATTATGCAATATCTTTTGCTGCACTGAAACCAGTTCTGATTGTAGGCCGCATCGCCCACACGCAGACTCTGCAAAAGGTATTCTCTTTTTTTAGAAAGAACAGCAGACAGAAATATGCTCGTCACGTACTGCTGCTATCAGAGCATCGCCGTAGTAGCACACTAGGAAAACCTGCACCATCGATGTCATCAAGAAGATGCAGTAGATCAGAATTACCTCAATCGTAGACTCGGTCACCTGGAACGCAATGAAGCAGATCTGCATGGAGGCCATCAGAAAGTTAAGCAGCAAAGAGAAGCTATACATGCTGTCGACGAGCTCGCAGAGCCTGTTAGAGATGATATTGCGCCAGAGCAGAAATGCAATATTTAAACTAGTTAATTTGAGTTTATGCCACTCACGTCAAGCATTTATTATGATATTTGATCATGGTAGCCAAAAAGCGCACATTCTCTGCGTCCTCATCTGGATTGCAAGGATGCGCTTCAAGACGCGTGGCTATATAGCTGAAGTGCATGCACAATTGAGTGATGACAACGACGAGTAGAAGATCCGCGCAGAGGAAGGCAATGCCGGCCAAGTAGGCTCCGTGCGCAATATCCCAATAGGTAATCCAATAAACCCAGTTTTTAGTTGTCGCATCGTAGGGAAACCAGATGAGAAAGCCAAAATTACGATCGAATGTCTCGTAGCCGAGGAAATTATACTTGACCGTCGCCTTGATGGCCGGATACAAAGTGAAGGTGGTCGTGTACGCCAGGCAAAGGAATGTGAATATGCTTATGACGCGTTTCATGGTGTGCTCAAAGTCTGCCAGTTTGTAGGCCCTCTGTGCCACCAGCGTCTTCGGGTGCATCTCCTCCAGGTCGTCCAGCAGCCGTATCAGCGTGTTCTTATACAACGCCATGGTCAACTGCTTGCAGTCCGCCACCAAGGAAAAGCCAATGCAGGGCGCTACAGCAATCGCCAGACGCACTGTCTCGAAGTCCTGAATCGATTTGTAAAAGAACACCAACTCGCCACAGACCAGCAAATTGAAGTTGATGAAGCCCGCGTACAAGTAGATCTTGAGCAGCAGCGATCTCAACGGGTTACTGGACCGATGCGCATAGATGTCCTCGCCAATTGTCTTGTAGAAACGCACGGGCATTCGCATCATGTCCCCAAAGGTGCGTGGAGTCTCCACCAACGAGCCGCTCATTGTTCTGTTCACTTCGTTGTAAGGATCTAGGTCTGCTTTTTCTAACTGTACGGGATGCGGTCGCAACTTGACATTTATATAGTCTGATTAGCTGCAATGAACTGGGCGTGGCTGTCAACTTTTTGTGCCCCATCATGTCGCCTGGGCCAAGTGTTGGTAATTGTGCGTAAACTTTTTAACTTGTATAAGTATTCCCCACTAAACGGCAGACTTTTCATGTAATTAGCCGTTAGAGCTGTCAAGTTTTACAGCTGGAAAGTTCCCATAATTTAGTCAGAGTTGACTGACTAGTTGGCCTAAGTCACAGCGACCATTGCTGGCCGTTAATCAATGCTATACACAAATTTGCAAACTAAGTTAATTAAACTTTTTAAAACAACGACGCTCGAACACCCTTGAAAATTGTCCAAAATTAAAAATAAAACCAGTCTAAAATAGAAAAGCTCAAGTCAAGCAAATTGATTGCTTATGTTATTGATGTTGTGTTGTTGCCGCAGAGAATAGTTTTAATTAAAAGGGTATTTTTAATAAACTACTACTTATTTGAATCCCCGAATTATAATTCAGGTGGACAAACTATTGAGTTGGCAAGTCATGAGCCTCATTAAAATGTTGATAAGTTTTCAATAAACATTTGTGTCCAATTTAATATATGTTCTTTTAATTCTTAGAAAATATACAAATTGACAATTTAATCTAATCTAAGAATTTTCCATTTCTGCCACACTTAAAACATTGGTTTTAGCTGCTGGTTCGACGATGACAACCAAATATAAACGAAAGAATTAACATTAAATTTATAATTGATCAGAAAACTGAAGTCCATTCATGAAGGAAGTAAAATCAAATGTATTGATAACGCAGAACTAAACACAAACAAAAATAGAATTGGAAACCAGGGACGACTGTATTCATACATCAAATTTATCCGCTTGGTATTATTTGAACAAACAAAATTGTGATGTGGTCGTCATTAAGAATAAAACGTCATTATCATATAGAGAATAGAGAATGAGAATTCATAATTCAGAGAATGAGACTATTTTTCACATCCATTTGAAATTTTTCATTATGGTAATTTGACAATCTAGAGTATAAACATACGCATTGTTTGCGTATATGTTTCTATACGTGAATTACATGACAAAGCTGAAATGCCTTAGCTCGTGTTTGGAAACCAGGTCTAGTACGTGCCCAGACTACAAGGCCAAAGCGAAATTATGAATAGCCAGTTAGAACCCAAAATTGGAACTTGGCTCGCTCGAGTGCCAATGAATGGATTTGCCTGCACCGAACTAACTGAAGGGCAAGCTCTGATTTTATTATTTTTTTTTATTTTTCATATTTCCATTATGGTAAATGTGTTCAAGTTGAATGAAATGAAAATAATTTTTCTTGTTATCCTGCCTCCCGAGCGCAAATTGAGCAGAAAATAACTAATAAAGTCGAACGTTGACGTCGCACGACATGAATAAAATGCAAAGTCGGCTTTATAGATGGCTCAGAGCAGGCGGCCAAGAAACGAGGGATTGCCATGGACCATTAGCAGCACAGAGCGCTGAGCACCCGGCGCAAGGCACGTGCAAAATGGAAACTCAAATTGAAATGCTGCTGCCACAATGGGTAATTTTCGTTTCAATTTTCACAGTTTTGTGACCATCTAGCCACCTACTCATCTACCACTTTTGGAATTATATATTTTTTTTGCTCATTTGCAGCATTGAAGAGATATTTTTTGTTTGGAAAAACTTTTGCCTGCAGCTGCGTGTGGCAAGGTGAAAAGTTTTTCGATTGCGTTGTACAAATGCTAGAAACATATTGAAAAATGGTTTGCATTCTTTAGCTACAGTTTTTTGGTTTGGGTGTATCAAAACTTTTGCTATTTGCATTATTTAATACACCAGCACGGGGCGTGTGACAGGCCATCGCCTGTTCACCTTCAACAAATTGTTAAGGCAAAAGATACTCATGTCGGATATTTCAATGCACGCCTCCATAATTAGCACAGCAGACGGACGCAACACTCGGCCCGAATTCAATTGCAAAGCACTCAAAGTCATTCACAATTAACTCAGATCCGTTGCTCTTTCACTCAGCGCTGCTCCTGCGAGTGGTTTTGTGAGTCGAGTAAAATGTTCGAAGGGGTAATTGAGCTTGAGTGCATCCTGTTTGAGCGCAACTCAATTGTGCGATGTTAACATCGCTGCAATGTTTCATGATTTAACCCCTGCTAACTGTGTGCTATGTTCCTGGCGCAACTGTTCCCAGAGCGATGTCTTGCGCCTGCGATGTGCATGGGAACAGTTTGAGCATTGCGCCAGATGGCGCTAATCGTTTTTAAAAAGGATATGCTATGATTTATCAACTAGGATGCACAGATTTGTACACACTTAAGACGATAGATGGAGCCGGAAACTTACCCAATCTCCTTTGCTTCAGCCCGCTTTCAAGGCGCTTGTTATAGGCCTATTAAATATTTAATTTCGCATATTTCAGTAGCTTTTTCAACACTTTTGTTGTCAGGCCTCAGACTCTCAGCCTCTCAGCTCCTCAGTCCCTCGCTGACGCATTGTTTTAAAGAGCCTGCACTTAAGCGCAGATTTTAATTACTTTCCGGCCGACTGGCAACGGCAACGGAAGGCGAACAAAGATGTTGCCCAGCTGGCGGGCAGAGGAGCTTGCATCCTTATGCAACATTTGGAGAATGCAGTTATCTGACGAACAGAGTCGGGGGCTAGGGCCCCGAGTCGTGGTCCCGTCATTTGAATTAGCCGCCCGCTTTTGTCACTAGCGAGCAAGCGGGTGAAGCGCCTCAAATGCATTATGTATTCATGGCAGTTGCTAAAAAAGAAAGAACGAAAGAAAAAAATAAATAAATAAAGCGAGCACATGTGGGGATGGGGGTGTGTCAGAGTTAGATGCACCTCCCCAAACCACTCTCACACACACACGCATACACACGCACACAGATGCCAAAGGAAAGGCAATGAAATGCTGGGCAAGTGCACTTAGCAGCTTGTAGCCGCCCCAGTTGACATTGCCAAGCACACACACACGCACATACATTCGCATGTGTGTGGCACTTGGGGGTTGTTTTCCTTGGCAATAAAAATTCGCACATGAGCAAGACAAACACACACACACACACACACACACGTGCGCATGGGACAATGGCGGGCCGGAGGAGGAGGAGCAGCAGCAGTTGTTGTTGTTGGCCAAAGTGGTTGCTGCTGCTGCTGCTGTGTGCAACTGCTGTGAGTCATCCCCTGCACCCCCAGCCAGCTGTAGTAGGCCAGCAATTTTCAAATGGCCTAAACGCTCAAGGCGCTGGCAACGCCATCGCAGCTGGCCCTTAAGTTCAGCTTCTGCAATTAAACAGCAACGGCCGACAAGAACAGTGCATGTCCATGTCCTGGCCGCCTTTTGTTTTGCTTTGTTTTGCTGTTGCCCCGCTGCCACTCCCCCTATAATGCCGCCTCAAGTGCAACAGCAGCAGCAGTAATCACAAACATGTAACAAAAGCCTAAACAGGCTCAAGTTAATGACTTGGCAACATGCTGACTGTAGCTTGAACCAACATTTGATGCACCTGTGACTGCGTTTTATTGCATCCTGCCCGCCGCACAAACAATGCGGCCTTTGTCTAGGCATGTCTAGGCATGCAGCTGCCGGCTTAAGCTGGAAACCCCTTTCCTGCAGCAGATCTTGCAACAGCTGCCACCGTTGGGAAACAAGGCAAATTTGTCCAAGCTGCGTATGCTGACAAAGTGTCAGTCAACGTTGCGTTTACCATATATCCATATCAGCCGCTGTCTGGCCGGCCCGCCGATCCAACAATGAGTGTCTTCCAATTGCCAATTGCCAATTGGGTATGGACCATTGGCGAGTCACGCATGCGCCGTTGTCACCTGTCGGCGGCTGCGACACTTCGCCGCCTGTCGCCACCATTTTTGGGCAAATAACTTGCTTTAAAATCCCGTTACCAGCCACCGGCTAAAGAGTTGTCATTCAGTTTGTCTCGAGACATGCGACCACCGACGGCGGCGCGGCTTCAGCCTCGTTGCCGGCTCGGCTCTGGTGTGTTGTCGTCTGCAAATTGTTCGCGTCGCTATTATCCAGGGGCATCAATCTCCCAGCCATTGACAGATGCTGCCAGCCGACTGCGCCCGCCCCCCTTTACCCTTCCCACCCGACACCCACCCTCGCCGGACAGCAATTTTATGGCAAGACGAAATTATTTACTCCGCCACAACGACGACTGTGGCTGCAATTGTCCACGCGGGAATTGGCCAGCGATCGGTGTAGTGTGTGCTGACTGGATCTGGGATCTGGTTATATGGCAATTTGATTAGCTGGCGGTTTTCAGTAAATTGCAAGCCGCCTTTTGTCTCTTGCCTAATTTAATTTGTGGACTTTTCGCTTTTGACTCCTCTGCGCATTTTATGGCTAGTTGACAGTTTTTCCTGATTGCTCGCAAAACGTTGACCGCTTTTTGGCTGCTAATTTGGAGTTGAGTTGCGGGCGGGCAACTTACAGCTGCATCAGCCAAGTCTCTTGATAATAAATTAATCCTTAGCCATAGCACACTATCAGTGAATGCCGCCAGGCAATCGATATTACTTTCGTCTTAAAAAGATTAATTCATTTTACAGACACACCAAATATAAGTTTTCTTTTGTGTTGTTGCTGTTTTGGTTACCATGCAATCGGTCTCGAACTCATTTTAAACATCTTTGTCTAACATTTTATAAATTAATAATTTAATAATTAATGTTTAAAATTTGAAGCAGTTATCTAGGACGGAGCATGGCCGGTAAATGGCAGCTGGTATACTGGTATATATAACAACTCAATCATTGGCCATAAATTACAGCTAATGATCACATTCGTTATTCTTACATTCGATCTTTAAGCTTTCAGTTGACTTTAAGTTGTGGTTACCTCATGCCATAACTGAAATGACGACAACCCGCGCAACTTTTCGTATATCAATGCCATAC